TGAAACCTGATGTACTTATATGATTCTGTTTTCTTCAAGGTTGTATCTTCCTGGTCGAATGCACTTATTGTAAGTCGCTTTGGATAAAAGCGTCAGCTAAATGCAATGTAATGTAATGTATATGTATTTATGCTTTTTAGATTTACTTTCTCTCGTTCTCTGTCCATCTGTTCTAGAAACCGAAAGGAAGAGAGAGACGTCACAGCTGTCAGCAATGTGACAAATCCTTTACAATATCTGGACATTTAAAGCGCCACCTGCGTGTTCATACTGGAGAAAAACCGTACAGCTGTGAAGAGTGTGGGAAAACGTTCACTCAATCTGTTAATCTCAAAACACATCAACGTACTCACACTAGAGAAAAACCTTACAGCTGTGAAGAGTGTGGGCAAACTTTCACTACATCAAGTAATCTCAAAACACATCAGCGTATTCACACGGGAGAGAAACCATATTGGTGTGAAGAGTGTGGGGAAACGTTCACTACATCAGGTAATCTCAAAATACATCATCGTGATCACACAGGAGAGAGACCATATTGGTGTGAAGAGTGTGGGAAAACATTCACTGCATCAGGTGCTCTCAAAAAACATCACCGTATTCACACGGGAGAAAAGCCGTACAGCTGTGAAGAGTGTGGGAAAACTTTTACTCAAAATATTGTGCTCAAAACCCACCAGCTCATCCACACTGGAGAAAAACCATACAGCTGTGAAGAGTGTGGGAAAACATTCACGACATCAGGTGCTCTCAAAAGACATCAACGTATTCATACTGGAGAAAAACCTTACAGCTGTGAAGAGTGTGGGAAAACATTCACAACATCAGGTGATCTCAAATCACATCAACGTATTCATACTGGAGAAAAACCGTACAGCTGTGAAGAGTGTGGAAAAACTTTTTCTCAAAGTTCTAACCTTAAACTCCACAAGCGAATCCACACTGTATAGTTTTGAACGACTATGAGAGCCAAGCTAGCTGTTTCCTCCTCCTGATGTCCTGAGAGCTGTATTGTCATATTTTAAGAGTCTTTCTGAATTGAAGTCTGACTTACAGTTTTTTATGTTCTAACCAGCGCTCACACTATGCCAACACAAGGCCACAGAGATGCTGTGTCTCCCGAATTAATTAACCTTTTAATGGTTCCTGACTTATAAAGAAATGTTTTTCTATGCTGTATTTCAACCATGGTATTGATTTTCTTTTTTTATATTATATCTCAACTGCTAGCCTCGTTAGGCTGCATTGAAGGAATTTAGTTTCACTGTTCATTAATCTGCATAGTAGTTTCTCCAATAATCTGTTTAGTTAATAAAATGTTGTGACTTTACATTTCGATTGAGATGTTTTTGATAGTTCCTGTTGAGTGGCCAGTCTGTTCTTTTCTAAAAGAAGAACCAATGATAAATGTATCCAGAAAATATCCACGATGTTTTCAGTTTGATTCTGTTCTCTTTTATTTAAATGGTCAGAATTTACCAAAGTAAAAAGGCCTTAGAAACAGACTCACATCCCTGCATATTTTTTGTGTTTTTGCAGCACATCATAAACATGTCATTCCCTTGTTTTAGGGCAGGCAGGTCACTAGGGCTGGGTACCGAAATCCGGTTCCGGTTTGGACACAACTTTCTACACACAGCGGCTCCGCTGCCCGTTTCACAGCCTCATCTTTGTCAACCTTTCTTATGATCTTTCTTTAACACGTAATGAAGGTTATTAAGTGTTTTAGCTCCTATGCTGAATCTGAACAGGAATCGTTAAAATCAAATCAAAAATCTGCGTTTCTCTAACAGTGCAGGAATAGATGGATATGAAGGATGTCTAAAATGCATGATCTGTTTGGTATTTTGAGTAAAACACATAACAATTTTTATATATCATATATTCATAATATATGCCTAAAAATTACATAATAGGAGACCTTTAAGACATGTTTGGCGGTTTCCGATTTATTGCAATCTGTACAGAGTCCAGTGGGGTGCCTGCCAATTCTGTGGAGTGTCATGTTTAATCCTGTGTGTCCTTAACTTTGTAATGACCTTTTTCTTCCCTTGGGCTCCTGCTTAGTCTTCTACCCCTACATGTTTCTGGATGCTGTAGAGATGCCTTCCTGTATCGCTGAGATCCCAGTATTCTTGCCAAGTTTTTAATGATTATAATAAGGGCTGTACAATTGTTCATACTAGTTAGTTTATTTAGTTAAAAAAGAAATACCCGCTGATTTACAGCCGTTTCTTTCCCCATGTTAGTCAATGGGAAAAAGTTGTTTTGGGCCGGGTGACGTCACGGACTGATACGGAAGTTACAGTACCGCCGTTTGGACACAACGAATGTTGGGCACAGTATCCGGCGCACTTCCTGGGGGCTTGGGGTTGACGCCCACTTTACATGGACGTTGTGAGGAAAGACGTAGTATATTAACGTTCTCCTGACGAGACCTCATCATCTTCGTAATACCTATTGAACTATAGATCCTATACTTCCACTGGACGTGGATTTTAAAAGTACAATATACACTTCTCGCTAGAAATCAAATCAAAAAGCATTTTAATGGTCAAACTATTTTACAATTTAGGATTTTCCAGAGAGGGTTATTTGTGAATATACGACCCTCCGGAGCGTTTGCAATCAACGGGAGCATATTCCGCAAATTGTTTTTTCTTACACGACCACTAGAGGTGCTAAACTTTAAAACCAGGGCTGTCAAACGATTAACATTTTTAATCAGATTAATCACAGCTTAAAAATGTATTAATCATGATTAATCACCATTCGAACTATGTCCAAAATATGCAATTTTTTAATGTATATTGTTGTGGGAATGGAAAGATAAATGAAAGAAGGCGGATATATCCATTTAACATACAGTATGTATGTACGTTTATTATAACATTGTTCTGTGTGTCAAAATGAAAGACAGCCCACACACCTATCAATTATCAAACCGTGGGGTCTTATTTCGTTACGTGTTGATTTCTATCAACACAGGGGGGTTCTCCAGTGTAGGGGGGGGAGTCTCCCTCCGCAGCCAGTTGGCGTAGTTTTGGCACAATTCCGTTGTACAGACCGACGTTAACAGCAGCCCTGTCTGTGCACACGGACACCGACTCTGTCGTCCGGTTATCTAACCGCCTTCTGGAAAAGCTTCACAAGTACGTCGGTACGCAAATAAGCTATGTGACACAAGTGACGGTACGTTGCCGCGCATGCGTACCAGTTACAGTGGGGGGAAAAGGATTTAGTCAGCCACCAATTGTGCAAGTTCTCCCACTTAAAAAGATGAGAGAGGCCTGTAACTTTCATCCTAGGTATACCTCAACTATGAGAG